CTGGTTAAAAAGATAAAAGTGAGATAACAGACATCAATTTTTCACTATAAATCTCTAGGTTTACTACAACATTAAAATTTCCAGTAAAAGCAGGGTTTTATATACCTGAACTCTAATGGCCTATTCTGAAAATATTTATGTCAGGAAAAGCATGGTATTTGCATGCCAAAAGCATTTTTAGTGCCAATGTTTAGCATTCCCTTCCCATTTAACTCCTTCCCATCTACTCATGAGTGCTAGATGCTCTGCCTAGTGCCTACCCATCAGATCTCCTCACGCAGCCTCCTGGAGGAGAACACTCCGGGGGCCTACAAAGGCAAAAAGTCAAATGCTTCTAATTAAATAGCACTGCATAAAATACTTGCCCAATGGCTCAGGATTGAGTCTCTAGCAGGGTCTGAAGCGTGATTTTACCTCCACACTTTGTACATGAAACTAGTACTAACCAAAGCGAAAGACAGGGACGGAAGGACAGGAAACTGGACAACACAGCAGCTCAGAAGTAACAGGTCAGAACTCCATGTCATTAGAGGAAGTTTCTGGAGGTATGAGTAGTACTCCATTAGATTTATTTTGAAATCAAAGAATGATTCTGTGAGAACTCACCTTACACATACAGGCATTTTCATTTGGTGAGAAGGGAGGGCATTTGGTACCTAAGGGGCCATAAAGAGCCATCGGCAGGATTGACACTGCAGAAGAGCATTGATTTCACCCATTTATTTTACTACAAATTAAACTTCTTTAGTTAGAAATTAAACTTAAATAATGCAGGCTAGTGGCCTTAAACTGTAATGCATGGGACTCTCAGAGGTACAGAGCTTGATATTACTTCAGTTTTTGCAAACTGTAATTTCCTAAATTTAAGACAGCTTTAGCAGTTTAACCTGATTTTCAGCAAAGTATTGCTTTTCTCTCTGCTTCATACTAGCATGTGCAAGTCACAGCTTTTCAGGACAAGCAATAACATAAATCTAACTTCTCAAAACATAGCAAACATCCAGAAATGCTGCAAGTCTCTACCTGCCTTATCTCTCAGGGCTCTTAGGTCTGAGGTTTTTGTTTGCTTGTTTATCTGTTTTTATGGAATAAAATTAGATTTCAGCATCTGTCACCATCAAGAAAAACTCATCCCTAGCTCCCACATGAGAACATCGTAACCACTGCACAGTTACTGAACCATGATACCTTAATGATCATTACACAAATCAACTTTTTTCTGTTTTCTTTTTTTTTTCTTTTAAATAACAAAATTAAGAATGTGCTTCCATAATTACTCGAATCAGACTTCCAGGTAATAAATTTAATAAAAAACACAATATGATGAAATTGTAAAGGTAATGAATGCCACACAATTTTATGTGTGGATTCTTTTAATTTAGAGTTATTCAGGTGTGCTGATTAAATTTTAGCAAATAATACTGTTGGCATTGTCACTCTACCATTAAGAACCAACAACCTGCAAGAAGAGACAAAACACTTGGTAAACCTTTCTGTCTTCCTTTTGTGTGCATTTTTGCAAAGCTCTCTTTTCAGCATAATCTAACAGAAAACCCATGCAGGCCTATTAGACAGACAACCTACAATAAAAACATAAGATTTTAAACATGGACATTAGGTGCTTTGCTAATTAAAGTTCTAAAACTCTCCAAAGATAAGATGTATTCCAGCAATTTGAATTATAATACCTTCCTTGGCTCCTTAGTATAATCATATTAACTTTTAAAGCATATATTTTGAATTTAACAGATTTTTAATTTATTCTGTAGATAATATATCGATCCTTAAAAACACAGAAACACAAAAAGTATACAGAAACGTATTCCTGTATGGGAAAAGAATTCAACATTTGAAGGAATGTCCTAGTTGTATCCCCAAACCCATTCAAACCCATGTACCAGAAAGGCTCTTTCCTTTGGGAAGCCAATGAGCTGCCAGCAAAGTGCACTGTGAAACTTCAAGCAGGCAAATCATCCCTCACCTGAGTCAGTACATGATCTCTGTAACAGCCCTGCAACCTCTGCCTGACCTCACCACCTCTGGCACACCAGGCCCCAGCACCCAGCTGCTCTCTTGAGCATCAGGTCCACACCACTTGGTCCTTTAAATCCTCAGGAGGATTTAAAAAATAAAACCGTTAATCAACACGTTGTTTCTAATGTTTCCTCCAGACTTTTCACTGTAATGAAGTGATTATCCCAGGATTTCCAGTTCCACTCTTGCCAAAGGCACTAACACAGCTCAAGGGAAGATGCTAGTTTTTTACCTTGGCACTACCCAAATATAAACTCCTGTAGTGCATCATTTAATAGCAATTCTGTGCAAAGTGCTCTAGTCAGCAGAACATTATCTGCAGTCTCCTGGCTCAGGCAAGCCCAGCCACCTTGCAGATGCTGGCTGCTTAGACATCCAATCTAATGTTGCCCCAAATCAGTTTATTAAGGGGAAAAAAAATAAAAATTACAAGGCCTTCCAGCAAACAACTGCCTTTGTCCCCTCACAGAACTGGTTTAAGTCACATATGGTTTTACATCACAACTCCAGACTGAACTCAGAAATTAATCAAGTTTTTATATCCAAAATAAGACAAAACCAGCAATGTTCAATTTTAGCAATTTTTAAAAATGAAATTGTTAATCAATACATCATTTTCTAACATGTGTCCTCCAGACTTTTCACTATATTTTGGGTTATCTCAGGATTTCCAGTTCTGAGTATGGAACCGATGTCTCCAAATTTAAAAAAACATATCAGTAAGAGATCTCTCTCAAGAGAGGTCCTCTTAGAGAATATGTTTGAACAAGCCTCCTTTTTGTGCAAGGGAGACTTTTTACCAAAGTAAATGTTTACTTGTACTACTGAAGCTCCAATGAAGACTCTTTTACAATACGTGTACCTCATTTAATATATGTGGCAGTGCTACATATTTAAAGGTTATTAATTGGGTTACCAGCAGTCAGCTAGCTCGAGAAGACCAACACATTGTAGTACCTAAGAGGTTACCTCTGCAAAGCAGCTTTCTAGTGCAAATGGCACTTTATCTAACTACAGACCTGAAAGTTTGCTGGACACATAAATTAACATTGCATTGCTGAAATAGGGGAGAAAAATAACTCCTGAGAACACAGGTATAATCACCAGAGTAAAATGGAAAAGAACTATGTGTTTGGTGTTGTTTTCTCTACTTTGTAGCAAAGTTTGTTCAAGAATCTAAATTTTATACCAATACTCAAATAAACCTGCACTGCAACTTCTGGAAGCTTTCAGGTTTCATTTTGATTACATTTCCCTTTGAAAGTCAGCACTGGAAGAGCTGACCCACCTAAGAAGAAATTCTAAGGCTTTGCACTTAAATAAATATACTATGGCACAAATCAGATCAGACAAAAATTACGTGGGCTGATAGATTGGCTTCGTACCTTAACTTTACAGGGAAAGGGGAAGTGCAGAAAAACGGACAGTTCTCTAACCCCAAGTTTTGACATGTAAATAAAGACATCTGAGGAGCACACAGGTTGGAAGCTGCTGTAACATTCTATCATAATTAGAAACATTTCAAGAGCTCTGTAATTTCCAATCAAAATTACAGTAATTTCCGATATACAAGCCATGATTCATGACAGAATTTTTACATTCCATGGGAGATTATAGTGGCCTGATGTATGACACACTGAGTACAGCACTAACATAAACAATTCAGTTTAATGTTTAAACAGCACTTGGTGTTTAGAATCCTACAATAAAAGAAACATATTATTGTTGAAATTATCACTTTGACAGTGATTGAAGGGTAGGCAGGCATGTGGCCTATAAAGCTATAATTTTTACAGTCCACAGCTTGAGTTTAATCATTTTGATACACCATTTCCAAAATATCCCTTTAAATGCTCCTTACACCATATAACTTAAGAGACAACATCCTTTCTGTACAATGAAGTGAATTCCGAAATGTGAACAGCACAGAAATCAAAAGTTAAAGCCTTATTAAAAAGAAAACCAGCACTAAAATGCTGACAGCCCAAGAAACATCAGTCTAAGCTAGCTTCACTAGCTTTCCCTGGAAGATGCTGAATTTTTCCATAAAGTAATTTTAGAAAAGTAAAGAAGTAGCGATTACATGGATTTAACACAATCTAATATGTAAATTCAACTTTGCAACCATTGGTGCCTTCGGATTTCTTTCAAGCATTTGTATAACCATAGTCTTTCCCATTTTTCTATATGTTTTTCCTTTACCTCTTGAGTACATTCTCACTTAAATCAATGCTTTTGCATACTCCAGTGATCTTTCTCAGAAGACATGTCATTTATGATAAACATACCCAACAAGTGCCTGCTGATTTCCCTCTTGCCACTAAACCTGACAGAAGATGCTCAGTTAAAGAAAGCAGAATAAGAAACCACAAAACAAAGGCTTAAAATTGAATATGCAACATATATGTATGCACACAAGCAGGTGGACACTGTGTTCCACAAAAGTACACATTTTTTTCTTAGCTATAACTTGCACAACTGTATTTTTTGAGGTCTTTTTTTTTTTTTTTGACAGTACACCTGTCATACACAGTCTCACCAGTGGGTCTGACAATAATTTTTTGCAAAAAACCAGCAACCCAGCATTCCTCATTCCAACACATGTAACTGCAAAACACCAAAGCCTCAAGATGAATTTGGCAGCAATACCCAAATCTTGACCACAGCTTTGGCCAGATCCACGCCAGCTAAGAACTGATGAACCTGATCCCCTTCTGAGCCATTCCAAGACCCATGGGCACACAGAGAAGGTGTCTGGCTGTTGGGGAAAAGGGAATGAGAGATCTCAGGAAGCTGCTTCTCTACCCTGCCTGGTCCAGGGAAAACAGAGGTTACTCAGCAACTAGCTCTGAGTTACTGTACTGGGCTGGTACACTGACCCAGCTACCCTTTTTAACTCACACAGAAACTGATCTGGGGGAATAATTGCACAGGACACAGAGCTCTTTGAGCCCTGGGAGTTTTACCTGGCTTTTGGTTGCCGCAACCTTCGCAAACAGTGCTTGGGACACCTTAGCTCTCTTCATTTCCTGCTGAATCTCATCATAAATGGAAGCATTAATGTTCATGGAATTGTTTTCTGGTTTTCCATTCCTCTCTGTAGCAATAGTAGCAGTTTTGACCTAGAAAATATGAGACATTTTTCATTATGAAAAAGTTATTTTCCTTTCTTTCCCTCCCTAAATAGTCCTTTGCATTTTATTCCTTCTATCCAATCTTTCTCTGATATTCTTTCAGCATTTTGCAGAATAAATATTATAAGTTATCTATGGTTGAAGCAACTGGGAAACAGGAAAATTCAGTGCATTGTAACAGGTGAGTGCATCTAAAATATGAGTTACAATTAACAGACCACTGCAAATTTCAATGTCATTAAATAGGTGGAAACCTGTCAAACAGTCTTGTAGAGACTTGTGAATCCTTACATGATTTCTTTGCCCCACACAAATCAAACAAAAATTGTAAGTGCAACATAAAAGAATCTCTAATGAAATAGAAATCCAACATATATACCTTGATTCATGTCTTATGCCCAGTACATTCAAATGCATGATAATGTTGAAAAGTTGTGGCTTTAGATTGAATTTATCTTATCAGTTTAGTTCTTAAGCTGTTTTTGAGACAGTTTAGAATAATGCATTAACCACTCCTTCACGATACCAAGATAGGATTTTCTTAAAGCTACTGATTGTTGTTGTATTTCACTTACATACATCAAATATTTATTCTCCTTGCAGTCCAGATTAAATAAACACCAAACATGTACACAAGACAGAATGATTACAGTACCACCTTTATGCCGCATCTGCAGCATTAAGGAAAACAACAAAAAAAAAATACATCAGTAGCGACATGATGTGCAGGAGACTATCCTTTCCTTCATCCTCTGGAAATGATGGAAGTGATGTTTCAACACCAAGCATCATCCCACCAAGGTTAGACTGCAGTTTCTGCAACATCAGTTGAGAGGTACAAAAAATCAGCAGGTACTCAGCTTATCCTACAATATTCTCAGTAGTTAAGGATAATGTTTGTCTTTAGCAGTTACTCTTGCAAGGCTTGCTCAAGATTAGTGGACCAAATGGGCCACTAATCCTAAAGTGGATCTGAGGAAAGGAAAACTGGATTTCTGCCAAGAACCCACAAGGTGATGATGCAAACAAAATTCGACCTTAAGATTTCAATTCAAACCTACTGATTCATACTGAGGTTATTGAGAGTTGAATTAATTTAGTTATTCTGAAGTTACTAAAGAATCTACTTTAAGACAGTCATTCAGCCTAATTCTAAATCTAATGGACAGAGCCTGGCACTTCCAGAAGGTGATTCAGCCCACTCTTAAGTACGTGTCTAAACCCACACTTTCACTATCAGTTTGATCCTGTGCAAGTCAGCATCTTCCTGTGCTCTGAAGTCCCTTGAGGTTCAAAAGCAAATCATGACAACATGATAATTCATCTTCTAATCTCACTCTCTATGAGCTTTCATATATCACAGGTCTCACGATATGAGAGTCAAAGGCTTTGTGTGAGAGATGTACTTAGGCAAATCAGCAGCCCACTTTTTCCTAGAAGTGCCAAGCTCAGTTTGTGTTAGCTATCATCCATAGTGCTTTTAATATAAAATACTCTAGCCCAGAAACTGTGAGTGCATGCCACTTTTGCTGAGCCTGATTTGTCCATCAGGCTTTCCAGGAACTGTGCTAACACACATCCAAAGGGGCAAAACTCCAGCAAGAACAAGGTGTCCATAAGCACTTCCCCTTGCCGCCATTCTGACAGGCATAGGCAGTTACTGGTGTCTGAAAACAAGGGTCCTAAGCAAAAATGGAAATGAAGAGAAATCCCAGAATGTGGCATACAGTTAATCATGTGCTTTTTTTTTTTTTTTTGCATCTGAAAACAATTAGTACTTTGCAGCCATGCCCTTTTCTGCAATGTGACATTTTATCAGTGACATTGCAGCAGGGGATGGCCAAGCCTGGACCAAAGGCTGCTCAGAAACAATTGACACACCTGGCAGCAGGCAGTGAGGAGCAGCACCACAAAATTCTCTCCTTCCCACTGCAGAGCAGGAAAAGGTATGCCTCACACCACACAAATCAGTACAGGGCTGCAAGAGGAGGTGCATCTCCTGAACATCATACAGTGAAATCATTTAAAAATACAAAATCAGTGGTAATTTTATAACCTTTAAATAAGAAGGACTTGGCAGAAGATAACTGAAAACTGGTGGTGATGTTAAACATACAACTGAAGACAGACTTATCTGTGTGCATGGAAAAATCAGCCTAAGCTAAATTAGAGAATGAAAAAGTGATGGCTTTGTCAACATGCATTCGTCAACCTTGGGTTTAAAATTTGGGGAACAAATTTCAGTCCTTCCCCCAAAAATAATTTTAACTTGTAACTACTTTTTGAAGGACCCAAGGGGAAGATGAAGGTACTCAGCTAGCATTCACAAGTCTTTCGGGAAGGAAACACTTTGCTCTTGCGGTCTTGATCAAAATGTGTCTCTTCTATAAGTACACTGCCTTTTTGATTGCTACTGAGCTTCAAAAGACAGCTTCATGTTGTAGCAGTACTTCATAGATCACTTAACTGAGCTGTGAACACCCAGATAATCAAAAACCATCACACACCATGCTGTAGACATAATTTAAACTATGCTACTCGATTCACACTTTTCAATGTCCAATTTAATATGGATATGCATTTAACCCACGGGAATTACTGAAAATCCTCATTCTGGTTTGCAGATCACATCTATCTTTATGCAGGTACAATAAATTCAACAGCATCTAATATGTCACCAAAGTTAAAACAAACAAACACACTCCTATTGCCTTCTGTTGATATTTAATTAGAGAACACTAATTGAATTCAGAAAACACTAATATCTGCATGAAAAAACAGTATTAGCCCAAAGATCTTCAGGGTAATAAAATCTTAAAGTTATAAAATTATGGGTTTGGGGATTACCAAGAGTTGTGGTTTGCAGTCATACCCTCTCCCCCTCCAATTCACTTAACTAGCTAAGTACAAAAATTCTTCTCCTGTCTCTTATTAATTTCTCTTCAAAGATCAGATGTAGACTCTGGCTGGTCTTGATGGACTATTGGTCTGCTCTGGTCTGATGAATTCCATGCAGTAATGCCAATTAACCTCTTGGAGAATATCCATACATAAAACTGTTTCATAATTTATACATAAGCAAGCATCTAGGCTGTTGTGTTGAATTTAGAATTGAGTTCAAGACAGAGGCTGTTTGAAGCTGGGTTGAAAAAACACCCTCCTCCTCAAAAAAACCCAACAGAAAACAAAAAAGCTCTCAACGGTGCAACTTCAGGACTTGGTAGAGGAGGTGGAAAAAGTATTCATTTTGGAGAGAAAAACAAAACAAAACAAAACATAATCTCTCATCTCATCCACACTTAAGCACAACCTCCCACCCCACCCACACCTACAGCCATATTTTCTGTTTAGGAAAGAAAACATGTATCAGCTAATTTTTTTTTTTTTGACAGTAACCAAATTTTGCAAATACTAACTGAAGAGGGGAGCATTATTTTACAAATGTAACACACTGAAAATCAGGGATTCATTTGGCCATCTTCCTATTGTCAGTCAATCTAGTCTTCTAAGAATACTTGAAAAAAAAAAATAACACATCTATCTCCTCCTGGCCAACTCAGATATATCTTCTCATCAAATGAGACTGATTACAGCAGCAAGAAGTTCTGGATTAATTCAATATTCCTAAAAAAAGGGTAAGTTGTCATAGAAGGAATAACCAGTATGAAGAGGCTTTCACAAACATGGAAGCTCATTCCTTCCCCATCGAAACTGAAACAAAAAAATCTTATATAACACATTCTCATAAGTACTGTTTTAGCTTGGGAACAAAAATCTTCTTTAATCCTGGTTTAGCTTTTAATATTACATTGTACATTAAAATTCATAAAGTAGTTCATTCCAGGCAAAACAAACTACTTTTCAGTTCTGCTCTGCAAATAGCAGAGGAGGTACAATAAATGCTGTTGCTTTCAGAACAGCTTTTATCAGGACAAGGTTTACTACTCCATTATTACAGTGGCGCCTGGAAGTGCAGTTATACTTAAGTGTCAGGGTTTCCATTAACTCTCCTCCATGGTGGTTTTTGCGGGGGTGGGAGGAGAGGATTGCATTTATTATTTTGTTCATTTTTACTATCGTTAAAATGCAATTTGGCACAAAGATTATCAACCTAAATCTCAAATTTTGCCATCTTAAAAACATGAAATTTTCTGGTGGTGATATATGGAGCATGCATGTACTTAAACTCTAGGAACTCCACCATAAATTTCATGGAAGTGGTGTAATCCAGAACTCCTTGCAATGGAGATTCACTGGTCCTCAAACACCATCAAAGCAGTGCTCTCCAAAATACCAGTCTTTCAAGAGCAACATCCTATCTCTGAGACCCAATCCACAACTGCTTTAACATGAAGGAACTGTAATTTATCTGCAGTCAGAGGGAGGCCAGGATTGTATTTATGAGATGAAGGTTTTGGTCAATGAGTACTTAGAACCATGACTCATGCAAGATTTGTAGCTCTTTCTTAAAACATTGCCTGTTAAAATAATATTCTGCTTTGACATTACATGTACTCTGTTTTTACACAGGGTGATGATGGGCCCCAAGGGTTAGCACAAATTTTCTTTGGGGAATACAGGCGGCAAGAAAGATTTCTTCCCCAGCTCTGCTGAAATGGAGACTACTTGTCCTGAGAAAGAAGTGTTTATAACTGCAGGATGGCTAGAAACCTTCAAGCAGAATATTTTGGAAAAGAAAATCTATAACTTAGCTACCTGTCTCCATTTTTCCCCCTACAAATTGTACATAGGAGGCAGGAGTCATCTCCCCATATCCCAAAGTGCCCTAATGAGACATGAAGGCCATCCCTATCATGTCAGCATCCTCTAAAAGTATCCCCAGATTATCTCATTTCCACATAACATGCAGTAGACTCATTCTCTCAACTTGACCTAGGAATACCCCAAAAGGGCCTCTATGGGGTGATCTGCAAGATGAAGGCATTGAAGAGCGGGGGGAAATTATTAAAAGAAATAGAACATGAAAGGACCTTTTCTCTTCCTTCTAGATCGCAGAGGTTAAATGACGTCTCCATGCAGTACCTACCTGATGGAGATGCCAATACTTATAAACTCCAGTGCCCCAGGAAATAGCCTGACAGACAGGCTTCTGCCCCAGGGGTGGCAACTCGAACAATGTCCAAGGGAAAAATCCTTGTGTACGCCGTCTCCTTGTGCTCAGTCCACCAGTGTGCAAGATAGTAGCAGATTTTTACAACTTGACCAGCTTAGAGGGCTATACACGCATCCCAAAAGCTCATGCATTAGAGGCTAATGATTTCAATTAAAAAAAAAAAAAGTAAGATTTTGCATTTTGTTTAAGTCAGAGAGAAAGGGAGAAGTAAGGGGGACAAAGAGCTTCTTAAAGGATTTCAAAAGAGAGCTGGAAACAATCCAGATACATTAGCTCAAGTAGCAACTAGTAAGAATGCTGTAAAAATGAGATAAATTCAACACTGTTCCTTCTAACTCAGGCAGCGGGGTTTATGCTTGGTGAGTTCCTACTATCCAATCAGACCTCTAAGGTCACACTTTCTGTTTTTTGCATACAACAGAATGCAAAATTTACACAGAACAAGCTCAGCTGCTAAATGGTTAAGTCTGCTCTACTGTCTGGCCACCAGTTGGCAACACAAAAATGCAAAATAGATCCTTTTCAGGATGTTTATTTTCACATCCTTCCGAAACTGATAACTTGCAATTGCAAAATAAACCTTCATGTGTGGCATATTAGCTCCCATTTTTCATGGTTTCATAGTTTAATTGTTTCAAATGTTACACTGGTCTAAAGATTTAATATTAAATATGTTGGCTCTTGCGTAAATTCTGTTGTCAGGATAAATGGTCTGTTTTCTCTTTCAATGGTTATCCAAGAAGCTCACAGCCAAGCTAGAAAAATATTATACTGTATTCCTGTGAAGTGATCTTTAAATAATTGCTTATAAATTTAGTAGTAAGGATGATAGTAGTTTTATTTCCTTAGTATCAAATATTCAATAAACTGTGGACATTTTGGGGGAGGTATCACAGTAGCAGTTTGCATCAAAAATTTTGCAGTATCCTGACTGTAATTTATTTCTGCAGTGATTTGTGAAGTTACACTTGCCAGTGTTACAACTAGGATAATTTCACTATTATTTCAAGCATCAAATATTGTAGTTGTCTTACCAATACAGATATTTCAATTTTCAAACTTAGGACTCTGAACACTTAGCAGCAGGTGAAAAGTGCTTCAGATGTTTACAGTGGGTAATTCTGGAAACATGTAAGAAGGTCACAAAGAATCACAACTCAGAGGTTTCTACATTCTCAGTCTATTCACTAGAGAAAATGAGTGTGTTTTTCTGAATGACAGAGAACAGCACAACAACTGGAAAAATAAGTGCTTTGTTCTGCAGACCTCAAGTGTTAGTCTATAAGGTTTCCTTGTAAACTTGTGTTCCTTTTGAAAAGGATTAAAACAAAAACGTGTGCTGTTTCCACTTTGAACTGTCGCAATTAGGTTAACTATACTCCTGACTCACATTAAAAAAATGAAATGTAATTATGAACAAGAGCACAATAGAGACAGGTAGATTTAGCCCCGCCTTTCCCACCGAATCTGGACTTACAGTATGTATTGTCAGTTAAGAAAACCCCTAAGTCTCACTTTCTTTCTGGCTGCAAGGGATTTATACAGTTTAAAGTGTGAATTAAAACCAGTACAAAGACTACCTCTGACTTGACATCCTTCAGGAAGGTCCTGTAATTAACTCTGTTCTTTAGCTGTGAAATTGCCCAAGACCACTTGAGACAGAGTGAGACATTACCTTGGCAGAAAGAGATAAGTTAAGAAGGATGGTTAGCCTTGGCTCTGAATTATCTGGGCTGTGGGAGCAGGTACAGATATTCAAACAAACTCAAATGTTGTTTTAAACACAATTATCTCTATTTAACTATTTCCCACTAAAGCATTTCTGTGTAAATAGATTCTTGTCCTTTATCTTGAAGAATATCTATAGTGGATTTTACAGACTAAACTCAGTTAATGATAACAAAACTACACCGTTAGTACAGTCTGTTTTTTTCTGCTAAAAATTTCTTCTCTTGTGAAAAGTACTTCAGCAGGTCAAGGTGATCTTCTGCCCTCCCTCCTAGAATTTTGTTATTCATTACTTTAGTGTGGTCCACAGTATCCATTAGCTGAAGGAAAATTAGAAGAATAATCTCGAGAGGAATTTATAGCATTCCAAACGGGTATAGCACATAGTCACAGTCACAAGCCTATGACTGGTTAACAAAAACCTGCTGTTTCTGTCAAAAACTCACCCGTCACAAAATTCCCACAATCCCAAAGCCCTGCTTTGTTTAGCAAAACTGAACTGTGTATACAGCATGATTTCCACATATCTGCAGATCAGTTTGCTTTTTCCTTGCATAGGTACAACCTTGAGCCACAGCAATGCAGAGTATTTCTGAAAATATACAGGTTTTGGAGTGAACCATGTTTCTTTGCGGGAATCCTGTGCATTCCTATGGCTCACATGCATTTCTCATGTACCTTAAAATAAGCATCAGAATTTCCTTGATCAACACAGGGACTGCACCATTGAATCTCTCAATCCCACTCTATCAAACTTTGTAATTTTTGAAAAATTAAATCAAATTAATTTTAGAGAAATCAATAGGAGTTTCATTTTAACAAATACTACATGAAACTTTAATGAACATATCCAAATCATTCAGAGCAATGGATTTAGTAAGCCTGTTACTTTACACAGCTGTCATTAGCTCAAGCTGGTGAAAGTATGCCCAGCATTTTGGGATGGGATCTTCTTTCCCTCATCACTTTAGTTTTACCTGTTTGCTTTCTGGAAAAATATTTTTTAAGGCACTACAAGGTACTCACACTTCTGCTTTCATTCCCTCTCAGTTTAATGGTCCAAATCCTCCAAAATGCCTATCTGAAGCTATAACATTAAGAACCTAAGAATTGTAAGAAAAGATGACAGCTAAAAGCCATCATCTTCCATGCCCAGTAAAGCTTGTACCTCAATAAAATGAGCAAAAAATTCTGTAGGAACCATAATGGATAGAATTTATCTTAAAATTATAAAATAGGTAGTAATAAACTGCTACTATCATCCATTATATTTCTTAAATTTAATTTGCGATATGCACTGCAAGTAATGATTCTATGAGTGTTTAAAAATAGTGAAAGGTTTCTTCTTTTTCAGAAAGGTCTCACCCAGCGGGACAGTGAGAGGACACAACAAGAAAATCCCAAAGGCAGAGAGAGCAGTTTACTTGTGGAGGCCGGCTGGGCGGTGTGCTTATGAGAGGCGCCGGGCCCATCGCAGAGGCTGCGTTCAAGCTCCTTTCCCTTTCGTCCTGGTAAATTCGATCTCGTTCTGCTTCTGGCAGCTGCAAGAAGTTCTGCATAGCCCGAAGGTTTACCAGCAAGGACTGCGAGGCAGTCTTGGGATCCTCTTCTTTTCGGAGGATTTCTGAGAGCAAGCCCTGTAGGGAAGGAAGAAAAAAAAATAGGCTCGAGAGTTAGCCTAGGTGAGTGTCTGCAAAACTGTGCTCTGCAAAGCCATTGTTTATCAGTCCTCATTCTTATTACCACTGGACTGGGAATGAGAACAGTAAATGCACTATTCACATAGGATTATATTAATGGCATTTTAGGTAGCAGAGAAGAGAGCCTCAGTGCCCTAAATTTTAATAATTAAAATTTTTAAATAGAACATAAACAAAATCTTCCTAACTGGTATTCCTCCTTTTACTGGCTTAACTTGCCATGACATCTTCCACAGTCCACAGACAGTCACGAGACACTAAGGATAAGTAAGATACACTAGGGGGTTCTCAGGCTTCACAGGCAAAATGCACACCCAACCTTAAAAAAAGGCTTTCCACATTTCTAGCAACTTAAATAGATCTTTGAAAGGAAATGATATTTCACAACTATTCTGAGACTATAAACTTGCAACGTTCCTAAAGTACTGCTTCACTGACTCAGGGCCATATTTTTTATAAGTCAATATTTCTTTCTAAGAGTTGCATATTGGAGTTTAACAAGTGAGGAAACTCTTTGGATGCCCTTGTTCCTCCTTCTTGCACCTTCCTCTCTCTTCATCAGGAAAACCCTAAACCTCAAATAGTCCATTGCTTGGGGTATTTATATTTAATGTCAACAGGTTCTTGACATCTCCTCTCCCTTCTAGTTTCTCCTTTTAAATATGTCGGGCATTCAAAATGATCTACTGTCTTGCAGTAATAAGATGGTGATAGGAAAGGTAACTTTTAGAAAAGCAGATGTGAACTACTATTTAGAATAAATGTTGTTGCCAAGCTGGGAAAGAGAGAGGATTGGCATACTTATAGTGTAACAAGGGAACATATACGTGAATTTCAAGAAATAACGTAACTCAATGTTTCTTTTCCTGAAGAACTGTTGTAAGATATGCAGGATAACAGAGGAGTAAATAGAGAGAGGGGAGCAGACAAGAAAAAAGCCAAAACTAAGATAAGTAATGCTGACTAAATGCATCTGTTCCTCAGGGGGTAAAAGAGAATGATATGGCCAAGGAAATCTTTTTTTGGAAGTCTGATGCTAACAGGTGGAAGTTGTCACCTCTCTCAAAGGTCTCATCCTACCAGAAAAAAGACCCTTAGGGAGGTACTGCTGCAAGCGACTGCTCTGGAGCAGCTGTGCTTAGGCAGGACCAGGGCCCACCCAGTGTGGGTGTGAGCTCTGCACATCCCTGTTGGGTGATGAGGACAGAGGTACCAAACACTACACCTCAGCCAGTGTGGTCCTCATGGCCCTGTCTGTGCCTGCTCACCTAACAGGGAAATGGGATGGAAAAAACCCAACAATCTTTCCAGCATTAAGCATGAAAAATATTTCAGAGGAGGATAAAAAAAAATAATCTTGGTGGATACTTCCTTACCACTTTTCTTGATCCCTCCTCTTTTCTGGAATCCAGGCAGAAATTACTCAGCTAGTAAATAAACAAGTTATTGACAAAAGTGGCATTTGGGCGATGTTTTAAATTTTTTTTTTAATGGTTAGTCTAATAATAAATTTACTTATAAGCAAACATGGAAAATAAATTTGTGTCTATAATTTTTTCTACTTTTAAGTACTCAAACCCACAGTTAGCAATGTTTGTTAGTGGTAGGGTTACACAATCCATCTCAAGAGGAGGTACAAAACGATTTTGTTCTACTGGAGACAGGCAAAGCTGTCTGCAGAGCACAAGATATAGAGAACAGAATAGAAACATTTAGGTTGGAAGGGACCTTTAAGATCACTGTGTCCATTCATTAACTGTGTACTGCCAAACCCACCGCTAAACCATGTCCCCAAGTGCCACATTTACATGTCTTTTAAATACTTCCAGGGATGGTCATTCCACCACTTCCCTGTCTGCCTGTTCCTGTGCTGGACAACATTTTTGAAGAATTTTTTTCCTCATATCCAATGTAAACATCCCCTGACATAACCTGAGAACATTTTCTCTCACCCTGTTGTTGCTACTTGGCAGAAGAGACCAACGCCTACATCGTTCATCTCCTTATAGGTAGTTGTAAACACGTGTGATTTCTGACTGTTTCTGTGCTGGAGACACCTCTCCATGGAAAAATGAGCAAGAAGAACTAAACTCAAGTGGACTGAACATTGTCAGGAGAGAAGACAGCCTCCTTACAAACAGCCACCACACACTGTCAGCCACAGGAAATGTCCTTAAAAAATACTTTAGCTTTAAAAAAAAAGCATTTGCTTGTAAAAGCCTAAGCCACAAAGTGGGCAGCTAAAAATGGTAGAAAGGCTGTTTTTATTGTATAATTTTTCCCTCTTCAGTGAAATAAGTAAATAAAGAAAATGCTGTTGTAGTTTTTGTAACTTTTGCCTGCATTTCCATTGCTATGGGACACCTCTTTGTGATTAGAATGTCACTAAATATTCATTCTCCTCTCTTCCCCAGTCACTGTCATGACCCTGAGGTGGGAGCAGAGCAGAGGACAGGGATGTAGAGAGAGGAGGGGAGATGACAGAGCATTGATTAGGCGAGGAGATGTTTGCTTCTAGACTTTAAACCTAACGGTGAGAATATGTAAGGAAAAACCATGAAAACAAAGATGTAGTACCAGGTGCAGGCAGTCTTTGAACAGTTTGCCAGCTTCATATATTACTTCATTGCTACTACTTCAAGTTTTGAGCACAAAATTCAGCTAGAAGCTTGTTGTTAGACAAGACATACAATGGGAAAAATCCTAGAAAGAAAAAACCGGCTCTTGCATGCTGGCCTGTGCTGATATGCATTAATTGTTCAATTTACCAAGCTTGAACTGCTTTTCCAGGACACTGGTCTTGGTGTGATCTCCTGATATTGTACCTCAAGTTACATGAAAACTAAGCATGTTTTGCAAAGAGATTATAAACAATGTTAGGCTCAGAGCTCTTCTCACTGTTCCTTCTTTGTATTCTTTTTGCACTGGAAATGTATTTTTTTAAAATATTCACAGGTTTCATTTGGAAAAAAAAAGAAGAAAGTTTACATGTCATCACAAGTATAATTCATTACTAATGGCACAAAAATGTTCAATAAATATTATCAAGGCTTTCAAAAGCTCATTACAAATTCTTAAAAAATGGAGATAAATGAAAGTGTCTGCCAATATGAACAAAAACACTGCTTGTCTAGCCCCCAGATTGTCTCCTCCTTGAACGTAATCACTGATTCAAATAGATTTTTATCAGTGTGATAGAACTTCAAAGCTTACAGAAGAAACATGCAATTTGCCCAAACCTTCCCAAAACATGCAGAACATCCCTAAACACTATCCCTCTTGGCTGAAGGGTGCTCCCATCCCATGTCCAGGTGGAAGATTATTCCCAAACTCCACCCCCAAGCCTGGATCCTAGCCAAGTAAGTTATAAGCAGACACATTTATCTATGCCGCTTAGTAGCAAGAGGAGAGCTGTCATGATAGTGTAATAGCACCTTTTTACCTTTTATTCAATAGTGATATGGATAGTGTACTTTTTCTTAAATTACACTATGAAGAATTATATGAATACAGTGGCAATTTCTGTTATACTTAAGCAGGCAAATTTCTCTCTACCACATAATTTACAGAACTCAAATTCAATAAAACATTACATGATGGTCCATTACTGTTATCAATTTTGAATAATCCATCTTCATTTTTCATTTTACTGGAAAATAAAGTGTGCCAAAGACAAAGTGGAAGGAAAAAAAAAAGGTAGTGCCTGAGAAGGTGGTTTGTGTAAACTTAGATTTTGTTTTACAATTACACAGAGCCATTTAGTGCATCCAAGCATTCTCCTTTGAAATAGCAATTGCACAGAATTAGCATGAGCACAGTCCTAAATACACAGAAGTTTTCACATATGAGAAAAGGCATTATACATGAGCGAAAGGCAGTATGCCCTGGCAACTAATATTTTAAACAAGCATGGAGCTCAACTAGAAATGAGGGAAAGGGAAAAGTGAGAAGCACTGAGAAATATTCAAAAACCTTCAGATCAAATGTTGTCACTTGTGGGAAAAAGAAAAGTACCGAAATTCAGCAAAAAGCACTCTTCCTATTTTCATGAAGAGCCACAAGGTGACCGCCACATAACAGCACCGGAGTCCCTGCAGCAAACCTTACAGCTGAAAGTGTACACAAACAGGCAGCTCTCAGTTCCAGTTCCAACCACAACCATGACTAACACAATTCCTTGCTCGCACAGTGCGGGCTCGTCACCCCGCCATGCACCGGGCTAAGCTACACCTTCGAGTCAAATGTCAGACTGGCTGTGGGAACTCAAGCCTTTTGATTCCTGACTCATGCTAACATTTAAAAACACACAACAGAAATGAGAGAGGAGTTTATTTGTTTAGGGATCTGAGGGCAGTTCAGCCCAACAAATGTTGATGCTGCACTCCAGCTCTAAGAACAAAATAGGGTAGAGGAACTCCCAGTTTAACTTAACATTTGAAACAGCAGGCAGAGCCTCTCTGCTGATGGGGGGCTGTGGCACCACACTTTGGGGGGTGCATCATCACTGTCACACCATGGCTGTTGGGGCTACCCAGGGCAGCAAACTGATCACAAATACCATTTTCTAGCCTGAAAAGCACAAGAAAATACTGAACTTGCTCTTTCAAGACAGTAGAGGTATCTGCACAGTGCACTGACATCAGCTAAAACAAAATATTAATGCTTATTAATTTGATGAACTGGCAACTGAAACATAAGTGTCTCAATTTACCAAAATTATCCTGGCAGACTGGTAGTCACCTTTGGACACCTTGCTTGAGGTGAAACTCAGATCTGCCAGCACAAGTACTAACTCAATAAAGTTTTCCACGGTGCATTGAAAGGAGGTGCTAACAGGATTCAACCTGTTTCTTTGCATCCAGTGAGTTGGAATCACAACCGCTGAAGGACAAGCAAAGCTTCAGATCCTACTGTACTCTGAACACTTCCTAGAAGGACCATAGAGAAATTCCTCCCACCAAAACTGCTTCTTCTCCCTGCAACAGTTGTCCTATTGTGCTTGTACAGATATGAAGTTTCATTCAAATTATAGGTATCTGGATATTTGATTAAAGTTTACAAAGCACATTCCTGAGAATTCAGTTTTGAAATTACCATTTGGAACTTAATGGCAGGGGGGAAATTAATCAAGAACACATTAAAGTCACACTCTCTCTTTCTTACGGATACACTTCTAAGATGTAGTTAAGGGTTTGTGGGTTTTTTCTGCTTTATAGATAAATAGTAATAGTAAAAAAAGACACTCTAGTTTTCAGAAGTATTTTTGCCAAATCCTTGGATTGTAAAAAGACATATTTCAAGTCAACATTTCTGCAGCCAAATTTAAAAATCTTGAAAATTAGGATCAAGTGTTGAATTGCCACACTACACTGGTAGAAACTTCCCACCCAAAAACCACCACCAAATTCTGCGTTTATAATGTAGAGCATAAATTTGAAAAACAAAAGCATCTTCAGACAATTTTGAAGTCCATTTTATTGCCTAAACATTAAGTTAAATCACTCTTAATTTATAGAACACTTCCTTCCTTAACTTCTACACTGAAAGCAAATCTCTCCCCACATCTGAGACTGTATCATGACATCATGGTTTTCTTGCACAGAACTCCTAACCTATTTCAGCAAGTTCTTATGCCTTTAGAAACTGATGGCATGATATGGTCCCTGGATACTGCTCAAATATGTTTATGACAGTTTCAAAAATGTCAGTGGTAAGCCTGAGTTAGCTTTCTATCTCAGAAAACAGAACATGAATTTAAACAAGCATTTTCATTTTTCTAACCAAAAAAAAAAAAAAAAGGGGGTATTACATTAAGCTGTGAGGAATTCAGAAATACAGCAAGCAGAACAAATTTTGAAAGTTTTCATGTAAAAATTGCTGGTACCTGTGTTTACCCTTGGACATTAGCTGTCACTGTGGGTTAAATTAACGATTTCCAGGTTTGCAAAGGTGAAATGCACCCTTGACAAACTCCTCAAAAGCCTCACTGGGGCTTTGCTTCGTATGAAAAGTATGATGAGATATTTCTTGGCAAAACTGAGGCTGACACTCTCTAGGTTCCTAGTATTTTTCCTTTTTGCTCCTTATATTTGCCACAAAACATAACAAATATTGCAAAATCTTACGTAGCTAACTGCAAATACTAACTTGATTAGCAAAAACAATTTGCAGGATGTAGTGTTACTACTCTGTGTTCTTTGAAATAGATTTGGTTGAAAATTACCAAAATATATTGGTGTATTTCATAGCTCCTCAACGGAATTGTTTTCAATGTTCATTTTGGGGTTTCCTCCCAGTTCTGGATCACTCAGCACATTTTACCAAGCCATTTTACAAAGTCTGGGGAAGAATTGAACTTTAAACAAATATTTAATAACATTTGTAGTAAGAAAAATACATAGCAATACATATTTTGATATATATTTAGTATAATAATACTAATATTAAAGTAAATAATCAGTATTTGCACTAGAAATCTTGTTCTACAGTTGCATTCATCACTTTGAAAGAGCATTTTCTCCTACTCTGTCATATAAATTCAATGCCCAGTCAGAACCAATCATCCTTGTATTTCAGGTAAGAAATACTGCTTATGCACAAAGGATATGCCAAAAGCTGTATGCAAAACTTAGCTGTCAAAAATTGACCCCTTCAGAGGGGGAAAGTTTAGATAAAACAATGTGTTTTTAGGCAAACCTGAGAAAGAAGTAAATATAAAATAAACTTTATTTTCTGAATTACTTTGGCTTTTTGTCCAGGTAAGGTGACAGCTGCAAATTACTGTAACATGGAAGCTACTACTATTGCTTAATACTTCAGAGTATTAATAATAAAAATTTTAAACACTATATTAAACAACACTCACTTATTTGTAAATATAACAACTGACAGAGCCTGGACCTAACTTAATGTAAATAATCCCTGCATGAGTTCATGTAACCCATGAAATTTTGTATGAAAGGTCCAGATCTCGAAAACCTCCTCTGCTGTAAAGAGGAAAGACACATACACAGAGCCCTACAGAGAATTCACACAATGACTCTACTTTCCTTTAGCTAAAGGAGGATGTAAAATATTGTAAGGCAATAGTAATTCAGAACAATTATAAATGACATGCTGATTCAAACTTGCTACCAGAGCATTTGAAACAGAATTTTTATTCTCTAAGCTACGACGGGAGAAACAAAAATGTTTCAAGAGAAGCTCAAATTATGATCTTTTTTGTTGTACTATAATCTACAATGGGAAAATTGTTCTCTAAGTATGTGTTTTCATTTTAAAATGTGGAACCCAAAGCAAATTTACCTATGTCTTTTTTAAATATTTCCCATTTTACAAAGTCCTATTAAAAATATTTTATTTTGTGTTTTAACATACTTCTAAAATTTTGAGATCTTATTATTTGCATCCAATATACTGGCATTTCTTCCATAATTTCTGCTTGATTAAATTCCATGCAACATGGCATTAAGTTAAATTCATAGAGCAGAATAAATTATAACAGGGTTAGCTTCTAAAACAGGTGTAAAAAATAACACATTTTAGTGTTACTTATCAGCTTTGCTAGGGCTGGCTTTTTCTGCATTGAAGAGCTGAAGTATATGTTCTGATGTGGACACCGGCAAGCTCAGCAACTACTGTTTTTGCAACAAACCACAAAAATACATGAAGAGAATAGGTCATCTAGAGATAAAGCTTTCAATTTTTAATTTTTCAGAAGCCTGAAAAAATGTTATTAGGACTCTCACTGGAAAATGATAAAAATAAATGCAAGTATGAATAAAAGACCATCTCCAGTACACCTGTGAAAGAAGACAGGTTGTTCAGTGCGTGCAGGTGGTCAGAGCAAGTACAACTCTACAATACAAAAGGCAATCTGTTGGGTGACTTTGTGGATGGTTCTGCATAGAGCTGTTCATTTCCTTTACTGGGAAATTCAGCTATTCATAAACCATCACCACTGGAGAGGAGCCATGCTTCCTGTAAGGACAGTGGGTATTTCCACAAACCAGTCCGTGAGGATTTCAGTATGGTGTCAACATGGACAGTGATCCTGCAAGGAAGCATGGTTCCTTCAGATGAGATAAGTGACAAGGTAGAAATGAGAATACAGACCTAGAAGATGGCAATTACTAATTAGAGAGGGAAACACTCCTACACTTAAAAAATTAGAAAAAAGATGACTGACCTGAGTTCGGTTAAAAGCCACACGTGCAAATACTGCCTGTGAGATTCCTGCTCGTTTCAATTCATCACGGACCCACTGGTAGATTTCGGAAGACACCTCTGTGTTCGTTGAGACCTGCTGCTCCAACGGCTTGTTCATGGATCTACTGACAGGAGGAGGGTGGTTCAAGTACTGTTGGTTTAAGGACTGCTGGGCTAGAAGTCTGTTCACTGCATACTGCTGGTTCAGCAACTGGGCCATTACCAGCTGCTGATTTACCAGCTGAGGGCTAATGGGAGTAGATACAAGTCCAGGGTGCAGGTTTGGAAGCGGGGTCCGAACTGATGGTTGACTACCATGAGAAAGCTGAACAGGAGATGGAGGCTGTTCGGCTGTGTTCCCTGGGACTGGCTGCTGACCGAAGTTGACATGGTTGGCACCTTGCTGGGATAGTTCAGAAAGGCTATCCATCTCAACTACAGCAGAAAAGAAACATTGAAAAGGCCAACATCAGACTGAAAATCACAAACTTGACTGTCCTCACAAGACATGCTAATAAACAAATGTAAAATGGTGCAATGCAACCCAAGCATGTGCAGGTTGCTGCATCCCACAGTGACAGACACAGGGGACTTCAGACAAAGCACTAACCAACTGGAGATGGGGCAAAGACAAGAGACAAAAATCCACTCTGTGCTGTGGATGATACAGGTGAAACAGCAAGTGCATGTGTGCAAAGGATAAGGAGGGCTGTTGTGGGAAAACATGTCCCAGCCAGAGAGAGAGAGGCCCTCAGTGACTGTTTTGTTCCTCCCATGAGGTCCCTGCCGTGACATCTGCACTTCCCAGCCACTGGAAATCTGTAACAAGCAGGGTGAGGTGTAGACCTCCCCATGCTCTGCTAATTTCTAGATGCTGCATCAATTGTATGGGACTGCTAGGAACTAGTATAATTTATGTAAATTACACAGATGGGCTGCTTTATCTTGCAACCATGTATGCATGGTTTTTTTCAGTGACTTGCAACATGGTTGAATTTTTTTCTTATATTAACTCATCTGCCTTTGACACGCCCTCCTTTTTAAATAACAGCACAGTTTTTTAAGCTACAAGAGTTCTTCCAGTTCCCCTCTTGTGCATGATTAAACAATATCAAATAACTCTAGCTTGATATAAAGGAGTCTCCTTTTTATCAGCATTTGTAACTTTTTTTATTCTAGAGCTTTAGCAGCTCTGGTCTGGAAATAGCCTTAAGAAAATAAGCTTTATTTAAAAACCAAAAGTCCAGTATTTTCACAGAAGTGTTGTAGCAATTTTTTTTCTTATACTAGTAAGGTTTGTTTTTTTTTTAAGGCAGTGTCTGAGCTTGTCACAGTAATTATGATCTTCAGTAACAGTCATCAGTGCAAGGCCACCCTTTCCTCCACAAGGATCAGAGCTGCATGAAGAAATTAGCACTTGGATTCCCACCTGCCTCCCCATCTTCCTCCCTTATCTTATTATGGGCAGAAAACTGACAAATAAAAAACAAGACTTTTGTTCTGCAGAGACTTCTGGTGTCCATAGCCTGGATCAATACCCAAGCAGTATTGCTACTACTCACACAGGTGACTTTGGGGGCAATGCTGCCTCTTCTGACAGCATTAGTTTACACAAGAATACACAAACACACATTTTCTATTCTCTGGCTTCACTGACTCAGAGTGAATGGAAGATGAACCTGTCTTAGCAGACCATATAAGTAAAATTTTGCAAGGGTTGCCCCATGCAGGAGCACTTCTGCAAGGGTCGAGGGAGAGGCTGCTGTGGAAAGGTCACTCTTCCCATATGGCCACTCTGCTGCCTCACACAAGGACCACCTGAAACCAAGTGAAGTCTTACCACTAAATTTGGTGGTCTCAGAAGAAGGGTTCCGTGTTGCACAGAAGGTACAAAGTAGATTAAGGAAAGAAGCTGCCTTTTTTCACTCAGGGAAAGTAGAGATCAACCCAAGTGGGCCATTCACTCGAAACAGTAATTCAAGCAATTATCACAAAAGTGATGCATTGTCTTCATTACAGCCTTAAGCTATAAAAGGCAAGGAACCCGTTTTGGTAGATGAATGATTTTGCTTCAAATACTGAAAGCTAAGTCAAGCTCAAAATTCAATCCAAACTGAAGTCCTATTTTTCCATTCTGTTGAAATCTGTGTAGAAATTTTTTGACATAAAGTGTTCAAAATTATGTGAACAGGTTAAAGAAAGATAAAAGGTATCACAGAATTGATAGATTTTTTTCCTCCAATAATTTACTTGTCCTTACTACAACAAGCAAACAATTGTCAAAACAATTATTTGTTAAAATTAATTGAAATTAGGGTCCCAAGGTTAAAGAAAGATATGAATTTATAAAATTACAACATCCTTGCTGGAAGGTAGTGATAGCTGTAGAAGCCTGTTTCTTTAAATATACATTAACCAGAACGAGAAAAAAATACATACATTAAAAAGTCAGTTCGTCACAGTTCCAGGAACAGGTTTTCTAAACAATTATTCTGGGTGGTAGAAGATCTCTAGATTTACAGAATGACAGCTTTACATCTCTGGCAACCCAAGTCAGCTTGGCTGTTTCAATAGCAAATATTTATTTAAATGAATTCTTTCACTATATATGTACTTTCTACATCTACTCATCAAAAGCATCCTAAACTTATCGTGAAGGGAACTGGCTTCTTATATGACTGTGACAGACCTCAATGTGACACATAATGGTATGTAACCACCATCAAGGCAATTTTTTTTTTTTGCTTACCCATCATATCTTTTGCCTTCTTGAAATGTTTATACCACCTTCCAAATTCCTGACATTTTGCTGCTGAGACATTTGCATAGTAAGTGCTGTTCACAATGGAAGAAATCATACTCTGTGTGAAAAGGGGAGAAGAAAAAAAAAAATCTGTAATACAGAGCAGTACAAGTCAAAGCACAAATTATTTCAATTGTTGAACCATTATATTTTTAAAGTTTGAGAACCATATTGCATTTTAAATCCTATCATCCAAAGCCTTTTAAAAAACTCATTAATTGAGCATGAAAACAAACCAAGGTATATTGTAAATGGGAGCAAAAAATAGCAGATGTACTAAGGGAAGAACAAAGTTATCGACCAAGAAACATCATGCAATGGGATGGGCTCTGGACAGAAGATGCTAATCTTGAAAGTGAATTTTGTTCATCCTATTTCTGCTTTTATATTTGATTGACCTTCACATACCCACATAGACATACAATTCCTACACCGCCTTTACAAATGCAAGCAGTGACCCAAGTTACCCATGTCCAGTTCCTCTGTGCCACTTATCACAGAGTAGACTCCAGAAAATCATAGGATAAAACTTTATCTGAATGACCTATGAATAGGATAAAATATGGGGTTTTTAGTAGAATAAAATATGTATCTAATAACCCAAAATGAACCCAGCCTTGTTTTTCCTCAACAGGGTATTTTAAGTGATTTGCAAAAACAGGCTTATGAAAAGCTTATTGTCATGTCTAATTCTGTAACTGAATATTATCTGTAAAATAGACCAAAGGAAGATTGAGATGATTTTTTTCTCAAAGGTTCTCGAGATATCAGATAGCTACAGTGAGAAATTTACCTTCTGCTCAGTTTTGACCAATTTTAAAATAGTGGAATTTACAATGCATAAAACTTTCAGTTCCAGTACATTCTTTTACAAATCAATTAAGACCAAGCCTTGAAAAATGAGATAATGCTCCAACTTGAAAATTATACTCACTATATGATGTATGAACAACAAAATTAGCAAATATAATTCTGACAGACTGAACTTCGCCATCTTTTAAATTTCTATGTGGAAAGTAGTTACTTTTGGCTTAACTACAAGAATTGTCCAGTTTATCAAAACAGCAATGACAGTCAAGAAGACAAAGCCTTGATTATTCTATTTCTTCACTATTCAGTATGTAACATTTAGATACATTTGTGCTATCTTACAAATCATTTAGAGCATCAACCCTTTGTTACACCAACTACAATAACCACTGGAAGGAAGAGTCTGGAATAAAAATGCAGTAAATGTTACTGTAAGTGTTCTTTAAAAGGCTAGTTCAGTTTCTGACTAAAAGTATCTTCATTATTGATCTTAGTGAAGTTCATTATAATAATTTTCTAAGGTATTAGTAGCAAGCTGTTCATGGAGGCTCAGAACTGCAAGAGTAAGGCAGCATTATTTATGCCAAACGTGGATATCCTCTACTCACCAGGCAGGTATTTTAATGTTTCTCCGAATCACCAAAATTCTTGCCACTTCTTAAAACTAACCTGGCATTTCTGAAACTAGCTAGAAGTCTTTTGTCAGTGGTATAAAAGGAGAGTGAAATTTTAATAGACTACCACAAGTCTAACCTGAATGACCAGAACCAAGCTCAGTTGAACCCAATTTCAACTTCCAGTATAACAGCAGTATACTTAATGTCTAATATATACAAAATTATCTTTTAAGCTCTTTTATAGATTAAACTATCTTAAACACGGGCACATGATACATAAGGCGTGATTTAACAAGTCCTGTGGATCTGACCTGGCAAATTATATTAATGCACAGACTACTTGCAGGAACTGCAGATCTATATGTGCAAAATGGGGAACAGCACCTGTCAGAGGCTATCATCCCACACCAGCTCATGTATTTTGCAGATGTCATTTAGACTTCAAGGTGGGTTTCTCTTATTTTACTTTGTGTTTTTCAGATTTGTTCTCCCGCTCAACTAACCTTAAGTATGAAAACACGTATATTAATTTTAGTAAATTACCCATTATTGAAGATGTTTGTCTAAGATTTCCTAGTGCTCCCTTCCATGTCATTTTATAAAAATGATACACAAATGACATGGCAGTTTGCAACACATCCCCTGCTTCTCCAGGAATAAATTTAATGCAGTTTACAACCAAATAGGGGACTGGTCTGTTTAAGAAACACTGCTGAGAATTTTAGTTTCTCTGACACAATGTGAATTTCAAGCTTTGATGGCTAGCACTCTGATGTTACTCCTGCTCTTCAAAGTAGAATTAAAAAAAAAAAAAAAGACAGACATTGTAAACACTTTTAAAAATGAAAATTATCCTGCATTTTCTTTGAGAACACTTCATGCAAACATTCAAGTGATATTACCTACGCTAAGAATCCTCATCAGGAGGAATCAATGATTTATTTACTAATTCACTGAAGGCAAAATTTTACAAGCCAGATAAAATATTATTACCTTGTTAGCTCAGAAAATATCTTGACAACACTGAATTTCATTGTTTCTACGCTTTATTTATTGTCATCAAACGTGAAGTCACATCAGTGCAGAGAGATGCACTTGGCTGTAGAAATTCCCTATTGCTATAGAATTCCTGTACATTTTAATGCCAATCTACTTACATAAAGGTCTTATGGCCTAAAACTCAAGATTAACCCCATGAGTTAGTGGTCTGCAGAGATTCATCATCTAGACTGAAGACATACTGATGCTTTTCATATTACCTGGGTCATTACACTTGAGCAGTTCCCCATATCTTGAATTATCAATAATCAAAATAAATATTATTGTATTTGAAGCACATCATATCCTGGTACTACTGCACATATCGCCCTTATCTGTGAGGCACAGAGGCAGATGCCCTCCACATACAAGGATGGCGAATATAAATATATCATACGAATATTCAAATGCATCACATGCATCACTCATAATCAAGTGTATTTTTCAGATGTTGCAAAGAAAATTGAGAGAACGCAAAAACGTCACAGATACGCAGTCTTATCTCCTTGTAGTTTATCCATGAAGGTAAGTTGCGAGCCATCAAGATCTCAAATTTCCCTCTTTCCCCTCTCCCATATCTCCCTCCTCCCAACCACATCACTTGCAGTCATGTTCTGAGAATCGGGAGATCTCATCTGAAATGGTGCCACCTTCACAGAAATCCCACTATTCTGGAATGATACCATCTGCTGCAGCCCAAGTGCTCTTTTTTTAGCCAAATAAGTTAATTATAATTAGGCATCCAACAACTGTGTGAAGGTAGGGGTAGAATTTGTTCTGAGGTTCAGCTGAGGTTCACCCAGAGTAGATTGAACCAAATCCCATTTTCTCTGGAAGATTAAATACCAGAGATTAAATACCAGACACCATCTTTTTCTCAAAGAAGTTGGGGAACTCCCTGGGGAAATATCATAAATCTCAAGCAGGAATCGTTTCATATGCCCATCAAACAAAACCCAATAAAATGGTAGCATCAGACACCTTTTGTTTTGTGCCAGAATCTAACGCAAGGTGCATCCTGCAAGATACGGGAAGGACCCGAGCCTTTCATGCCGGCTCGTTGCTGCAGCCACCGCTGCAGGTGCTTCAAGGGAGGCATTTCTGAGTCATTGCCTCTAACACTGCTCTTCAACCAGGTGAACTGTTGCTCGATCATCGCTAAAAGTATACTGTTGTCCTTTTTGCAAAACAACAAAAACAATGTTAATCAGGTTAATTCAATCATCTAAACCAAAACTGTTCATGCTTTTCTGCCAAATCAACCAACCACAGCAAAATCTGTTATCAGTGATTGCTCAGCTTCCAGTCAAAAAAGCTTTTAACCCCCACAGTCCCAAAACTTCCCCTAAATAACCTTAAAATTATTTTTATATGGGCAGAATAAGGTTGTTTTCATGCCTCATGAAGGGGTACTTGGGCTGCAGTATTTACACAGAGCAAATACATGCTAACAGACTTAGCAGAGAGTAACAGACACAGCAGCTTCCTAGAACAACTCGGCTGAATTAGATATCAGGGATTCCTTTGCAAATTAAACATTTTTCTCAAAAGAAGCACTGTAACTAAAACTTATTTAGGCCTTCCAGGTTGTTTAAGTAGGAAAAAAAAATCTGAGCTTTTTTGCAACCCATTCATTGGTGTTTAAAGCTTCAAGCCTGCTCAGTGGAAGGGGCAAGGGCTGCAACAACTTATTTACACAATTATCTAAATACGATTAAACAGCTGATGGACAAATATTAAACTGGAAAATGTATAGTCATTTCAGCTTAATGTAATCCCCTTTCTGTAAACACCCAAGATGATTTTTTTTCAACCAGAACAGTCCTGACATCTCATAAGCCTAAGGGTGAATAGCAAGAGATTGTTTTTGATAGTTATAAATATTCAAAAGACATGCAGACCATCTGCTTTCATAATACAGGTAAAGCAAGACTGAAATGGTGACTGCTGTATAAAAATGGTTCTTTTAACAAAGTCTTCCTCTCCTCGAAAACTATAAAGACAGATGTCAAAAACTGTTTACACAGGGTAATCAGGAGCGTGCAAAATGTAATATTCCTTTTACACACAGTGCTTGCTAAAGAGATTTTTTTTTCTTTTCTTCCCATCTGTGTGTTGCAACACATTTCTACAAGTTAAAAACATTTTTTCAAACAGAGATCTCATGAATACCCAAAAACATGCTATCTGGTTTCTGAATGCTAATTAATTTCAACTAAGAAATCTGATTTTTTTTTTCTGTAGAAAGGAATGCATGCTTTTGAAATTGAGTACTTCAACAATGACAGACACTGAAAACAGAACACCCCACAAGTTTAATTTTGCACTAGTTTGACACTGGCTATTTTCACAACTGTTTTACATTCAAACCCGCATCTGCTAAATCTGGCTATAAGACAGGCAGCAACTATCCTCTCACTTTTCAAATGAGATTTTATTTACGTTTTACTATTTATCAAGTTTTTCAGTATAAAGCCTTGTAACAACATAATGGTTTTGTGAAGTGGTAAGTACAAGATACCTCATCTTGCAGGCAGAGTATGAACAGTGCTGCCCATAAACCCTACAGTCAATTTTCAGAACTGAAACACTA